AAGAATGCAAACATAACATTTTTCGAGAAACTCAATTCACTTACACCCTTATGTTTAGTTACCCAATTTTGTAATCTAAATCGTGGGTAATCGGAGAATAATATTTACAATAAAATTTTAAAACAAAATATCCAATTTTGATTTGGGAAATAATGTGTAAATAGTGAAGTTTCCGTTTGAAGCAAACATCTCCACCTACTTGAAAAAGAACAAAAGAAGAGGCCTAAATTTTGTTGTTATTATTATTATTATTATTATTATTATTATTATTATTATTATTATTATTATTATTATTATTATTATTTTGGTTTGACTCCATATTCTGTCTTTATTTAGAGATATTAAGAAGGTATTGAGTTTTCACTAAGGATGGACTTGGGTCGGTTTTCGGTCAATCCGACCCGACCTAAAAATTTTATATCCTTCACCCGATCTGATCCGACCCAAGAAATATAATCTCCACCTGACTTGACCCGACACGATATTTTGAGATAAAATCCGAATCAGATCTGACCCGACCCGAAATAATAAAAAAAATATTATTTTTATTCAGTAAAAATAGTGATTTAATTGAAAAAAATAATATATATAGAGGGATATTATTTTTCTAGGTCGGGTCAGATCATGTATTTTTCACCCTAAACCCGAATCCGACCGGACCCGAATAGAACATCACCTTTAAAAAATCGACCCGATCAGGTCGGGTCGGGTTCGGGTCTCATGCCCATCCCTAGTTTTCACCTTAAAAAAATAAGTAGTTCTGCTGTACGGTAGCATAATTTAAGAGTAAGGAAAGGCGCAATCGAAAATGTTAATTTTTTTAACACTTCTGGTTGAGCGCAACCTAAAATGTTAATTTTTTAACTTTTCCAATAACAAATGACATTTCTGGTTGTTACCGAAAATGTTAAAATATTTGCATTTTAGGTTGCACTTAATCGAAAATGTTAAAAAAATTTAACATTTCCGGTCGCGTCTTTCCTTAGCCTAAATTATGTTGTTTTTCCTTAGACATTCCCAAAAAAACAAAGAGCATGATCGAAGGATGTGAAAAAATAAATAAAGAGTAAACTGCGCGTTTAGCATCTAAACTATCAGTTTGGTTCGTTTTAGTACCAAAACTTTCAGTTTTCTCAAAATCATGCCTAACATTTAGTTTTTATTTCATTTTAGTACCCCCGCCGTTAAAAACTTAATGGACAGGCTCATCGGCTGTCGTATCTAGAGTCTCCAGCCATTGCATCTATTAGCAGGTAAAACCCAAACTTTTCAATCTTCACCTTTTCGACCCCTTAAACATGATTTTGGCCTTCATTTTATTTGGAAACATCTCAATCTCTCCAAATCAACGATGTACTCTTCAGTTTCTTCATCCTTCGATCTCCATGGTCCATCGTCCGATGGGCCTAAAAAAGGACTATGTTGGTCCACTGGTTATTCTCTCGTGGTCCACCGTTTATATTGGTTGTCCGTCTACCGGAGCTATGTCACATTAGCCCATTCATTAATTTTTTAACGAGGAATAATAGAATGAAACAAAAACTAAACGTTAGATATAGTTTTGAAAAAATTGAAAGCTTAGGTACTAAAACAGACTAATACTCATAATTTAGGTACTAAATTCGTAGTTTACCCAAAAATAAATGAAAGTGTACTTAATGGAAACATTGCACAATCATATCCCGTGAACGGCCAATACCACCACCAAATGGAACAATGGGAAACACGTTTGCATTATTAGCCAGATCATTACGCTTAATATACCATTTTAAGCGTGAGTTTTTTTTATAGAAAGTATTTTTTTCTTTTAAATTCAATTTAATTCTATTTAATTTGAGTTACAATTTAATAATAAAATATTAATATAAAAGTATTTTATAGTACTCATTTTCTTTTAACAATATAACATGCCTTAAAATCACCTCAAGCACAATTCTAAATTAAGCTCTCTTATGCTTTTAGGGATAACTTTCATTTAGTATAATAGATTACTTTGAAATGATTCATAACGAGGGTGGAACTAGGAATTTATTAAAGTGGGGTTAAAATATTTGTTATTTTTCATAAATATAATTTTTTTAATTAAAAGGGCTTGATATTTTTTCTTTATTTATTTTTTAAAAATATTTTTTAATATTAATTAATACTTAAAAAATAATTAACAAGGGAAAATACTCCTCTTAACCTCACCAAAGTCAGCCCATGTTTACAAGTAATTAAATTTCCGAGAGATGTTTAAAACCCTAATCTCAACTATTACTTTTATATTTCAATTATTTGAATATGTTTTTTTTAAATTAAACAAAAACATCTAGAGATTCTCAAAGACAAATTTTAGTACGTGAGCACATGATTCTTAACGGTCGGTTCCACCATGCTTAATTGGTACATTGTTTTAAAAACTATAGAAATCATTTGTTAAATAAAAGAAGTTAGCTAAGAATCTTTTAGACTAATTTATACAAGTATTACTATAATACTAAATATTAAAATAAAATATATTTGATTAATTATCAAAATAACATCTTTTAATGTCATGTTGCGTTTAATTAGTCAAATCTTTATCTTATCCTTCTTAATATGTCCAATTAATAGAAGATAAATATTGTATTCGATGACGTAAAATTGCAAACGACGAAAAATACATTTCACGAATTTGAATTTTAAAGGAAACTGTGTTTCATAAATAACACATTTGTATAATTTTTGCTCTACAAATATCTTGATTGGAAAACAAGAAATATATTGAAAATTCAATTGAAATAAACGTAAAATTATATTTTTATAACAATTTTTTTCTATATAGTAACACCCTAAAAAAATTGTCACAATTTTGTGTATATATGTAACAATTTTGAAACCTTTAAAATTTAAATTAAATGTGACACATTTTTTTAAAATTAATCTAAGGTGATTATAACTAGTATTTGTTCTAAAAATTATCAACTATTTAACGACAATCAAAATTCAAACACATTTACAGTCTCAGGTGCTCGAAACTGAAACCTCTAAAGATAACAACCATCCTTTTAACAATTGAGGTAGCTTGGTTCATGCATGTGTAACATATTTTTAAAACATCTATGTCAAATAAAAATTAAGCGTACTTAATGAATTAAAATCGTTTATACAAGAGTCAAAGCTTCAAATATGACATAATATAAATGAAAATAGTAATAAAGATTACATAATGAAATACTAGCAAGTTAGTATAAAGATTACATAATGTAAATAAAAAATTGTACTCTAAAAAGGAGATGCTAGAAATTCTTCGAATGTAATGCTACTTTGACACAAACACAATCTAGTAACACGTGAACATAAATATCTAATGATAAATTTTACAAGTTCAATTTCACGCTTTTATTCTACTATAGTTCATGCAGTTCATAAATATAAGCATGCAATGCAAGTATAAGAAGAGAGAGATGAGATAAACATATATCATCGCTATTAACCACACATCTATACTATCGCAATAGGACTTGTACAGACAATTGTTGTAGTAGTAGTAGGTTACCTAGAATCACTAAGCATCATGTATTATAGATAGCAATGGTATATGGAATCATTAAACATCATCTACTACATCCCCTATTTATATTAAATATTTATATGAATAAGTATTGATACTCGCTCCTTGAAAACATTGATTTTCAAGGTCAAATAATCTAATGTTGATACTCTATGAATAATATGATATTATAACGTAGAAAACTCAAAATAAAGTTCGAAAAATCATTCTAAAATGTCTCTAAACACTTTTTTAACCTTAATTGAATCATAAAGCTTGTGGGATTATCAAGGTCGTATTTAACATCATTTTTATAATCTTTTAACGTTAAGTCTCCATAAAGATTACTAGAACATGCTTAACACTAAAACACTCAACATGCATGATATCAATTTGTAAAATATTAAACTTATGAAATATATGAAGCATTTCAGAGTATGAAGTGTACTATAGCAGTGCAAATTAGAAAAGAAGGCTCATTTGCTTAGCTTCCTCCAACCTTCTCTTTTCCTTTTGCACTAGAAAGTTTACCGACTTTTTTTCACTAATCAACCAAGCATATAACAAATCTATACATCAAATAAAAGATTAGGGGAAGTGAATTTACGAATCTAAGACATAAGAACACAATGGAAATGGACTAAATAAGCTTTACAAAGTTTAAGCCCTCCATAGCCTTCAAGTAGCTTCACATCATCTCTTGGAGAAGATGATAAGTTTTTCTTGAAGCTCATGGAGTGTAGATGACAATTCTTACCTTTTTCTTAATATCATATGATTGAATTGAATGAAAAATTCACTTTGTTAGTGTTTAAACCCTAGGGTTAATGAAGAATTAAGATATAAGAAAAAAGAAGAAGAAAAAAGAGAGAGGAAGAGAGTGATATCACATTCTTCATCCTTTTTCTGGATAATTCCATTTCATTACCCAAGAAAGTTGAAAACCTGCTACAGTTAACATCGTACAATAGTAGCAGAAATAAATCAGCAGATGGCTACAACAAAACAACAATCACAATGGAGGAACAAAAACAATGAGTATCCCATCTTAGGAAATGCCCCAATTAGCTCAGAGGATTGCATTTCTGGGGTCGTTTCTATTTATAGCTCTACCCTCCAAACGGACACGCAAAGCTTCCTTGATGTCCTGCAGAACTTCATCCACTGGTCGCGCTCTACCTCCATAGAGTCTGTTGTTTTTCTCCTTCCAAATACCATAGATGTGACTTGTCCAAGCAAGTCAAAACACTCCCACAATGAGTGATTTACCCTTGAGGCAGTGAATTTCCCAAGCCAACTCACCATCCCAACATCTAACCCCCCGATATACACCACAAAGAGCAAGAATAGCTCCCCATAAGTCTTTTGTGAAGGTACAAAAAAGAACAAATGGTCACTACACTCAACCTCCATACCACAAAATAAGCAATCAATATTCTCAATGTTTAAACCCATTCTTAGAAGCGTAACCCGAGTAGGGATCCTATCAATAATTAATGGCCATCCACGCTATGACATTATGTTTAGGGATACGCCCAGGGAACCAAACAACATGCTGCCAAGGAACTTTAGGAGCTCTAGTTCGTAGATCTTCCCAGATGCTTCTAATGCTCAAGCTACGGTCCGGGCCAGCAAATAGGTGGGAGACACTAGGTCTGATTTTCAAAATGTATTTTAAGCCCCAGCTCACATTCATGGGAATATTCATCTGCCAGAAGTCATCATTCCCGATCACATAGGCTCGCATCCAAGCAACCCAAAGAGAGCCCTCATTTGCTAGTAATTTCCTGATTAGGTGCACAACACAAGCTTTATTCCATTCACCAATAGCTTGAACACCCAACCCACCCTCAGACATCATTAAACAGATCTTTTTCCAGCTAACACGAGCCCCTTTAGCAGGTAAATCAGATCCCTTAAAAAAACTGAAGCAAAGCTTCTAGTTAGAATGAATAATTTCTTTCAGCAAAATGAGTTGCCTGCACCAGAAACTAGCCATGCTGAAAAGGACAACTCGGATCAGTTGAAGCCTCCCAGCAAAACTGAGATTCTTGTTGGCCCACAAATTCAACTTGGCCCTGATCTTGTCAATAAGATTGTAGCAGTCCTTCACTGCGAGTTTTCTGGTTACAAGTGGGACACTTAAGTAATGAACTGGAAGGTTACCCAACTTAAAGCCGGTGGTATCTTTAATAGCATTGCAAAACTCAGTAGAAATCCCAGCATATAACATTTCACACTTGCTGGCGTTTAATTTTAAACCAGACATAGAGTAGAACATGTCTAAAACTACATGCACACTGATTACAGAGTCAAAGGAACCTTTGCAGAATATGAGAAGACCATCCGCGAAGCAAAGGTGGGTGAGCCCAACCTTTTTCCACTTAGGATGAAAGCTAAATACTCCCTTTATAGCAACCATATTCAGAAGGCTAGATAGAACGTTCATGGTCATAACAAAAATATATAGTGAGAGGGGGTCACCCTGCCTAACACCTCGTGCACCCTTGGAATAGCCAACGAGACTCCCATTGAACACTATTGAGTAGTAAGGTTTAGTAATACAAGCCAAGACCCAGCCAATAAACTTCTCATGTAATCCTAATGCATACAAAATAATTCCCATAAAATCCCAATTTAAGGAGTCGAGAGCCTTTTGCAAGTCAATTTTGAGGGTACATCTAGGGGAAATCTTCTTCCTAGTATAGCCTCTAACAAGTTCCTAGGCTAGTAAGGTGTTATCAATAATGCTTCTCCCTTTCACAAAAGCATATTGATTCATTGAAATTATACTAGGGAATACATGAGACAAACAATTTACTAATATTCTAGTGGTAGTCTTATAAATGACTGAGCAACAAGAAATAGGCCGAAAGTCCTTAACCATACTCGGGTTAGCGACTTTAGGAACAAGTACAACAGCAATAGCATTGAAAGAAGGGAGAATGAATGAATTAGCAAAGAAGTACCTGATGGCTGCCAAAAAATCATTCCCAACAATATGTCAAGTTCTTTTGAAGAAGAAAGAATTGTACCCGTCTGGGCCAGGAGATTTATTGTTCCCTTGCCCCCAAATAGCTTCTTTGATATTTGCATCAGAGACATCTTTGGTTAAAGACTCAGCTACACCCTCTGACAAAGAGTAGTCAAGAAGATCTTTGACAGTGTTAACATTGCATCAGTTGACATCCGGATCAGCCATCCCCAGTTGCTTATAGAAGAAATTAATAGCTTCATTTGACATTGCATCAAATGTACTAAGCTTCGTTCCCTCATGATCATAAAGGACCCGAATGGTGCTGCACACCCTTTTGCTAGCCACCATGGCGTGAAAGAAGCGAGTAATCTGATCCCCCTCTTTGATCCAATCAACCTTCACTTTTTGTTTGTAGAAAAGGAGCTCCATCTGCTCAAGGGCCCTTAATTCATCCTCTGTCCTTAGCTCATCAGAAATGAGGCTGCCAGAGATAGCAACATCGAGATTAGCGAGCTGAAAAGCCCTCAGTTCATCTCTTTTCTTCTGAACTTTCCCCGAAATATCAGAAAAATAAGTTTTATTCAATTCCTTAAGGCAACAATTCAATCTTTTCAGCTTAAGGAAAAGGTCTTGCACTGAATTTCCTGTGATAGGGAGTTGCCATGAATCATTAACAATGGCCAAAAAATATGGATGCAACACCCATAAGTTGAAGAACTTAAAGGGCTTTGGCATGGCAGTAGGTGCTTCTCTGTGCATCCAGACTAAAGTTGGGCTATGATCTGAGTCCCCTGGTGCTTGGAACCCAACCTCAGAAGAAGGAAAAGCCTCGACCCAACAATGATTAATAAGGACTCGATCCAATTTACGAGCCAAATAGGTGTCCTGCTGCTTATTAGACCAAGTGAACAATGGACCAATGATTTGGTGATAAAAAACGCCCAGATCCTCAACACATTTCAAGAAATCGGAGATGTCACTAATGATACTAGAATTAACAGGATTTGAGCTTTCTACCAACTTCAAAATGATGTTGAAATCTCCCCTTATCAACCAGGGTTCATTTTCTACTAACTTTCATCATTTCTAAGTTGATCCCAAAGATGTCTACGATAAATGCCATCATTAGAGCCATACGCCGCAGTAATGTAAAATGACTTATTACCAAAGCTGCCCTTAATAGTAAAACTTTGGTCATAAGCTAAACTAATGGAGCAGTCCAAATTTCTTTCCATAAGACCCAAATCTGGCCATTCTCAGCATAATTGTAATTACAGTAGGAGTTCCAACCCTCAAACTTTTTAAACAAAATATATCTTGAATTATTTTCCTTAACTCTGGTTTCCAGAAGACAAATAACATTGATGTGCAATCTAGCAATCCATTTCATCACTTTGCTTTATTTTAGGGGACTGTTAAATCCCCTAATATTCCATAAGCACACTAACATAATAAGTTTGAGGAGGAAGAGACACCCCTTTCCTCAGCCTTCTTAACCTTGTCAACATGCTCCTTCTTTTTCATTTTCAACTCTTGAACAATCTTTGCAACACCCACAGAAGCACCCCTCTGCTTTCTACCAGAGTCTTCAAGGAGAACTCCAACCAAGCTATCAGGATCAATTGAGCTTAGGATGTCAAATTTGTTCTTTGACCCTCCCCCATAGCTTTGCCAGCTTTGGCTGGCCTGCCTCTACCTCTCTTTAACAGTGGGTCAATATCCTATGCAGGATGATCAAGCTGCTTAGGCCCTTGATCAACCACTATATTACTCAATACAAATCCCATTCGATGATGTACTAGCAACCAGTTCAGGACAGGCCTCAGCTGGCACTGCAAAAGCAACTAGATCCCAGAACCAGTCCCCTCAGTGTCTATGATGGCAACCAGGCTCCTAGCACTAGCCTAATTTGTGGTAGCATCATAATTAAATTTAAAATTAGAAATAGCAGGATCAAACAGCCCTTCAACAAGGCTGGACTCCAAAGAGGTTGAATCAATATTCAAGCCAGCCGGAGCAGATGGGCCCTCCAAAGCATTTGCCACATAACTTTTAGTTTCAATCCTGGAATCAGGTATATCCGACTTAGCACCCAAAGTATGTTCTTTAACCCTCCATACTTGCTCATTTTTCTTCCCCGGAGGACAATAATTAACTGAGTGACCAAAACGACCATAGTCAACACAAGAGCTAGGCATCCAAGGCACTGAGACTCTAATCCTATAGATTTACTCATCACACAACATTACATCAATGAAATTTGAAAACTGAAACCCAGCTGGAACCTCAACACAAACTCTGCCATATTCTAATCATTCTTTATTAGCAGTAATTGAGTCCATGTGAAGTGGTTTACCAACTGCACTTGCTATGTTACTAAGACCTCTCTTCGAGAACAACTCTAATGGCACGTTATACAATTGGATCCAAACAGGAATGCAATGTAAATCAAAATTCAATTTCTTCAAATTAGGTTCCCATTTTCTAAGACAAATTGATTTATGTTGAAAATGCCACTGACCGTTCTCTAAAACCTAGTCCCTAGCCGAAGAATTAACGAATGAAAAACAAATAGATTTGACCCAACCAAGCTTACCTTCACCGAAGAGCTTTTCCCCCCACAATTGACCAACAAGTTTTTGTATAGTAGCAAAATTTGGTGCTGAGTCGATGAATTTTCCAACAAAAGCGTACCTCCATTCTAGGATACCCTCCTCAAACACATAGCGAGGTGGTTTCACAACGCAAGAACGCTCAACCATCGTAGGAGGGAAGAAGTCTAATTCCTGCGCATTCCCCACCGCGAAAAGATTCCTCCAGTCTGAGACACCTTCACCAGCCATGATCTGGCAAAATCCCCAAGAAAGTACCTAGAAATTGCAGAGAAGATACAAGAATCGAAGGAGAAATGGCCCGTCTTCATATGCTATTAGCCCAGCTAATTTACACTGAGAGAAAAGAACTTAACATGTGCCATGCCCGTCTTTAACCTGATTATTACCCGATTGAGCCCAAATTTTATCCAAAGGATCTAATCACACTTACTAATTAATATATTGGTGACTCAAGTTAATACTTAAACATTGACTCAAAAATTTGGATCGTTATAATATAATAGTGTGGGGTTTGGACTAGTTTGGAAATAAAATTTCTCTCACAATGAGTGAAGTCATAGATAACTAAAATTAAATAAAATTAAACTTAAAAATAATAATTATCAATTAATTGCAAGTCTCTGGAAGTGACAACAACAACAACAAAAACAAAACCCTATTCCCATATACAATGGGGTTTGGGGAAGGTGAGGTAGTAGGCTGCCCCAACGCCTGGTTGAGAGCAAATTTCGTGGGAGAGCTTCGGCAGTAAGAAAAGTAAAAATAAAGATAAAATACAATGAATGTATAGATAAGTCAATAAATACATAATTGAGAGCAGCTTCCCTTCCAATTAATTCCTGCGTAAAAATATCTGCTTATAGACAGAAAAGTAAGTCCCGATTAAATTTAAATAGAGGAAACATGAAGAGAAGAATACACAGAAGTCAGCGAAAGTAAGCTACTAGAAGGAATAAAGTTAAATTGGTTAAAACTCAAACTAAGACAACCCTACTCCGCTACCCTAGTTCTATGCCTTTATAAATTTCAATGATAGAAACGTATAAACAGTAGAATTCATGGAAAATACAACAAAGGCATAAAAAGAAGACAAAGATGCTACACCCTGTGGCCGTGACCCACACTACTCTGCTACCCTTATCTTAAGTCTCCATACTTTTCTATTAGAGGTCATGTCCTCACTAAGGGATAAATCCTTCAAATCAGATCTCACACAGTCTATCCACTTCCTCTTTGGTCATCATCTCCTTCTGGCACCGTCAACTATAATCGACTCTACCCTCCTGACCGCATCCGACGGTTGTCGCCTAAAGATGTGCCCAAACCACCGTAGTTTTCCCTCCCTCAATTTTTCGGATACATGCACCACCCCCAAGGACATCCTAATTGCAGAGTTTGGTGTCATGTCCCACAGAGTCCTACCACATGCCCATCGAAGCATTCTCATTTCTGTAGCCTCCATCATTCTTACGTGATCCTTCTTTATTGCCCAACATTCTGATCCAGACAGCAGTGTTGATCTTATTGCCATTCTATAAAATTTTCCCTTAAGTTTTAGAGCCATCTTCTTGTCACACAAAACTCCAGTTGCAGCCCTCCACTTTAGCCAACCCGCCTTTATACGGTGTGTAACGTCATCATCTACACCCCCATCTTTATGAATCATAGACCCCAGGAACTTGAAATAATCCTTTGAGGGGAGAACGTGTCCTTTAATGCATACTTCTACATCTTCGTCGTTTTGGTTCCCACTGAAGTTTGAACATAAATACTCTTTCTTTTCAATATTGATCCTTAGACCTTTTTCTTCCAGAGCAGTCTTCCAGGTAGTCATTCTACTATTCAGTTCAGTTTTTGTTTCAGCAACTAGGACAATGTCGTCAGCGAAAAGCATACACCATGGAACACCGTCTGGTGTCGCACAATAGATATCGTCCATAATCAAGGTAAAGATGTAAGGGCTAAGAGCCGACCCCTGGTGGAGTTTGATTTCCACTGGGAATGTCTCGGTGTCGCCAACTGTAGTCCTGACGTATGTAGTAGATCTACAGTACATATCAAGAATTGCCCGGATATAAGCATTTGGGACCTGTCTCATTTTCAAGGTCTTCCAAATCGTATCTCAGGGAACGCTATCATACGCTTTCTCAAGGTCAATGAACGCCGTGTGAAGATCTGTATTTTTTCCCTATATTTCTCCATAAGTCGTTGGAGTAGATGAATCGCCTCCGTAGTAGACCTGCCTGGCATAAAGCCAAATTGGTTTTTCGAAACCCTAGTAATCTATTTCAACCTAGCCTCTATCACCCTTTCCCATAGCTTCATGGTATGACTGAGTAGTTTAATACCTATGTAGTTACCACAACGTTGGGATCTCCTTTATTCTTATAGATTGGTATCACCGTAGTCTCTCTCCACTCCTCTGGCATCTTGGCAGTCTCTAAAATAATATTAAAGATATTGGTCAACCACTTAACTCCAACTTCTCCAAGGGCCAACCACACAGTGATAGGAATTTGATCTGGACCGACAGCTTTGTCCCTCCCCATCTTTCTAAGAGCCATTTTGACTTCCTCAATCCCAATACTACTTATAGGGAAGTCATTGGCCTTAGTATGATGGTTTGCTGACCCATCAACGGTACTATCTCTACAGGGAGAGGCACCGTCATTAAATAATCCAAAAAAGTAACTACCCCAAACCCTCTTAATATCATGATCTTTCACTAAGAGAACACCATTGTTGTCCTTAATAAACCTAATGCTACCTAGATCCTTTTTCCTATTCTCCCTTGATTTTGCAAGCCTGAAGATGTCGTTTTGTCCTTCCTTGGTGTCTAATCTATTGTACATTTCCTCGTATGCCTTATCCTTTGCTTTAAAAGCAATCCTTAATAAAATAATTATCAAAATCCAAAATTTTCATCTTTTATGCTACGCTATTTGAACACAGTTAAAGAAAAAGCTTGGAAAGCCATTTGTTAGCACAATTTTGAATTTCTAAAGTTGATATAAAGATGATTGATTATGGGAATCTTATGATATGGATAATTTTGATTTCTATAAGGATTATTTCTGAAAGTTAAATTTCATGAAATCATTTCAAAAGTAAAAGTTCAAATGTATTAAAATGAGGGCAGAGTATATAAATGGTACCCTAACTATAGAACATTGTTTTGTTGAGTCATTCGACTATTAAAAGTTATAAAATGACTCTCCAATTACAAAATATTATTTTTTGAGACCCTCAGTTATTAAAAGTTACAAAATGGTCATCTGATTATCAATATATTCTAAACTTATATTTTTTCGTTAAAAAATGACGGGTTTGAGTTGTGCGTTAACTTGTTAACTAAAATATGATAAAATTATATTTTAATGATATCTACTAGCATCGTCGTTTCTTTCAAGCATTGGCTCAATTGTGTATTGTTTCAAGCACTAGCTCGATGGCATAATGTAAACGGAGAATCGATCTACAAGATAAAATTCATATAGTGTTGGGATCAAATTTTATCATATCTCAGTCAATATGATAATCTCCAACTCAGACGACCGTCAATTTTGTATCAAAAAAAGAGTACAGAACATATGAATAGTTGATTGACCATTTTATAACTTTTAATAGTCTAGAGACTCAATAAAACAACACTTATAATCGGGGGACTATTTTATAACTTTTAATGACCAAATAACACAACAAAGTAATACCTTATAGTTAGGAGACTATTTGTATACTTTACCCTTAAAAGTAAGTGATAATATGATATTATAATGAATTTCGAAGTTTCTTTCATTAATTTATAAAAATATTTTTAAAAGATAATATTAATATATAAAATAATTTAAAATTTTAATTTTAATATTTATTTTAGTAAAACATTTCAACATTTATAACTTTTCTTTGATTTTATGGTTACAATTTTATAAATTATTTAAACTTTTTATTAAAAAAAACTATTATTCCTCTCTCGTATATGTATAAGTATAAATATAAGTATTTAATAAATAAATTAAATATTTTCGCACAATTAAGCAGGGATGTTTAATCGGTCAGTTTAGTTAAGCGATCAAACCGAACTATCCAAAATTCTTTAATCGAATATTTTTTACTTTAACCGTTAATTAAACTAAAACTTTTTCGAATATTTTTAATCGAACTGAACAAAGTTTGGTTAATTCGACCGGTTAACTGAATTAACTAAAATTTATAAATAATATATAAATTATATATTAAACATTTAATTTTTTAGTTAATTCGATTAAAAATGAAATTTAGACACCCATAAGGCTAAGTAATATATAAATAATATACTAAATATTTAATATTTCGGTTAATTCGATTAATTAACCAATTTTGAATTGAATTAACCAATAACCAAAGTTTGAAAAAATCATTTACCTTTAACCGACCGAACCTAAAATTAATCAATAAATTAGCCAAAATAATTTTTGGTTCGGTCGATTAATTCGGTTAAAACCTAAGTATGAGCACCCCTACAACCAAAAAAGTTTAGTGGTTGAAAGGATAATTGTAATCCCTAGAGGTCATGGGTTCGAGCACATTATTTACAAGAATATTTAAACTTTCATTATCAAATAATTTAAAATCTTTCAAATAAATTCTACATTGTAACAACTCAAACTAATAAAAAATTAAACATTTTCCTATAAAATTATATTTACATATAATATAAATTTGATGGTGTAAGATGAGTAGTTAATTGTCCCCTAAAGATGTATATATAGGTATTTCCGTTAACAAGGCTCTTCCCTCTAAACCAAACCAAATGAAGAGTTGCCTCCGCGTGTAAAGTTCCGAAGTATTCGTCATCACTTCCTTTTCACATAAATTTTCAAATCACTGAGTGAACCTTCGTTGCCATTTCTTCTTCTTTATTTGTACATAAACTCTGCTCTTTCCACCCCAAAACACCTGCAAAAAGAGAAAAAAAGGATGGGTTTATCAAAGGAAGAGAAATCAAGAAGAATTTGGAGAGGTTTCAAAACAGTGTTCTTCTTGATAACAATGGTGATTTCATTACTGGTATTTTCTGCACCAGTTTTCTTTGTAATTGCCGATACGATTCTGCCTTCTGCTTTGCTTTCACTTTCCCTTTCTTTATCATTCAAAACCCTTTCTTCTCATTTCAATAACTATGATTTGAGATACTCTCTCGTAGATATCCCTCTTGTATCCATCTTCAGATCAGCTGTTATCATCTGTAAGTCAAACAACAAAAAACCCAAACCAAAATCTGTGTTTTTTCAGACAAACAAAACATGATTTCATGATAGGTTTTGTTGTTGGTTGGTTCAGGTGTTTATAGTTTTTGTGATGGGCCAAAACTTTGCAGCGGATTGTACCTTGGAATCACAACGATATGCTCTGTTTCATCTTTAGTTTTCGTTTCGTTGAAGGCACCATTTGTGTTCGGTTCGAGTATTCCTAGAGAAGGTTCAGCCATGGTAGCTGCTCTTTTAGTTTGTTCATTGGCTTTGGCAATCGCACATATAATTGCGGCTTATAGAACCAGTTGCAGAGAAAGAAGAAAACTCCTTATCTACAAAATTGATATTGAAGCTGTAAGTTCTCTCTCTCTCTCAATAACCTTAATTAAATAAAGGCTAAACTATATTATTAGTATTTAAATTATTACTTTGTTTCATTTTAGTACCTAAACGTTTTTTCAAAACTATACATAACTTTTAGTTTAGGTTTCAATTTGGTATCCGCCATTAAAAACTTAACGATATGAATGATGTGGAGTTCACATTACAAGATGTGTGGAATATCAAAAAAGGGAAAATAATTCCATGTCACGTTGCCGCTAAGTTTTTAACGATGGGTATCAAAATAAAACCTAAACTAAATGTTAGATATAGTATTTTTTTAAAAAATATAGTTCAAGTACTAAAATGAAATAAAAGTGACAATTTAGGGATTAAACATGTAATTTACCCTTATTAATCTAATCAAAACAAATTCCGGATTTAACTTAATTAGCTTAATTTCTAGAAGTTTAATTGGGAAATTAGGACCGTTGGTTCTGCTTTCCCTATATATTTATAGTGAAAGAGACAACAACAACAACAACAAAACCCAATTCTCATATGTATGGGGTAAGGGGGAGGTAGGGTAGTAGGCTTCCCCCAACGCCAGGTTGGGAGTAGCTTCCGTGAAAGACCTCCGACAGTCAGAAAATTAAAAATATAGATAAAATGCAATGCATGTATAAATAAATACATAGCTAAACAGTATTCATATGCAGTTATTAAAATCATATGTGCGTTTGTAATGGGAATTAATCCCTGTAAAATAATCCCTGCGAAAGAATCTCTACATATAGACAGAAACATAAGACCCAACTAAATTTAAAAGAGGAAACATGAAGAGAATGATAAACAAACGTCAACGATATCAAGCCCAGTTCCAATCCTTCATAAATACCAATAACAGAAACGTATAAAAAGTAGAAGTCATGGAAATTACTACAAAGGCATTAAAAGAAGACAGAGATGATACACCCTATAGATGTGACCCACACTACTCGACTACCCTAGTTTTTAGCCTCCATATTTTCCTATGAGAGGTCATGTCTTCGGTAAGGGCTAACTCCATCAAATCAGATCTCAAGCAGTCTTCCCACTTCCTCCTTGGTCGTCCTTTCCTTCTGGCACCGTCGACTGTAATCGACTCTACCCTCCTGACCGCATCCGACGGTAGTCGCCTAAGGACATGCCCAAACCACCGTAGTCTTCCCTCCCTCAATTTTTTGGAAACAAACACCACCCCCAAGGACATCCTAATAGCAGAGTTTGTCGTCATATCCCACAGAGTCCTACCACATGTCCATCGAAGCATTCTCATTTTTGCGGCCTCTATCCTCCTTACGTGATCCTTCTTGGTTGCCCAACATTCTGATCCATACAACAGCGTTGGTCTTATTGCCATTCTATAAAATTTTCCCTTAAGTTTTAGAGGCACCTTCTTGTCACACAAAACTCCAGTAGCGGCCCTCCACTTTAGCCATCCCGCCTTTATACGGTGTGTAACGTCGTCATCTACACTCCCATCTTTATGTATCATAGACCCTAGGTACTTGAAACAATCCTTTGATGGGAGAACGTGTCCTTCTATGCATACTTCTACATCTTCATCGTTTTGGTTCCCATTGAAGTTTGAACATAAATACTCTGTCTTTTCAATATTGATCCTTAAACCTTTTTCTTCCAAAGCAGTCTTCCAGGTAGCCAGTCTACTATTCAATTGTTGAAAGTTAGGGATTTTTAACTTGTACAATGTCTCAACTGTTAATTAAACTGTTTAGAGCAGGGGGAACGTAAGAGTTCATGTTAGAGGTGAGCTTACAAAATTTTAAGTAAGAAAGAATTTATAAAATTTTAGGGAGATAAAAACATATTTTCAATAAAAATATCTAAAATATATAAAAAATTAATTTTTTTAGAAAAACGAATGTCTTCTCTATATCTATCCCTGAATATGAAAGTACTTAATTTTTGGATCTCTCATAGAAGAAAGACAAATAGTGACTCATGTTTTTAAATTTTAGGATATCTTGTAGAGCAAATCTAAAAACTTGTGACTCATAAAGTTGTTTAAGTTTTAAAATTTTGTATATAATAATTATTTTTTAATATAGTTAAATAAAAATATATTTTTTGAATGTATTCACATAATAAAAATAAATAAATTGTTGCTAAAAATGCTAAACCTTTATTTGAGCATATTAAAACTATTAGATATCTATTGAATCATTTTAAAAAAATTAGTAATCACGTTTCTATACGAACATCTTTAAAACTATTAAAACTTTATTCAATTAATTTAAAATGTTAAATCTTTATGTGAGCAGTCTTTAAAAGATTCAGGTTGTATTTCAGTATTTAATTTTTTAATATTTAACTCAAATATATTAAACTCTTATTATTATTATTTAAAATTATTATTGAAAACTTTTACTTTAACATTGATAACTAATAATAAACTAACAATAGATTTAAAATCAAGTATTAGCAAAGGCGAACAATAATAATCCATGGCCTTGTCCCCTTAAATTTAAGGAATTTTATATTTAGTCTCAAATTCTTAGAAAAATAATTAGTTTTTTTAATTCTTAAGCTTTATTTAAAAAAAAATAGGATATACCTTTAAAAAAATACTAATTGCATCATATGTCCCCAAACTATAACCCTCATTTTAAATTGTCCTTAAACATTTGAATATTCCAATTTCACCCAAACTATGACTATCATTCTAAACTAGTCCTTACACTTTTGAACATTTCAATTTCATCCTAAACTATGGCCCTCTTTCTAAATTATCCCCAAGCTTTTTGAATAGTCCACTTTCATCCCAAATTCCATCCTAAATTATGACCCACTTTCTAAATTATCCATACATGTAATTAGTCAACCTTAATTTAACCTTTTTTTTCAAACATAAAACAATATAACTTGGCCTACCAATTTTATTAACAAGGGATGTGATTAGTATATATTTATGGTTTGGGATGAAATTGGAATGTTCAAAAAGTTTGGGACCAATTTAGAATGAACATCATAGTTTGGGGATGAAAATGAAATGTTCAAAAGTTTAAGGACTAATTTAGAATGATATTCATAGTTTGAGGATTAATTTGTAATATTTAAAAGTTTAGGGATCAATTTAAAATTATTGGCATACTTTGAGGACATATGATGCAATTAACTAAAAAATCCTTTTAAACTCTTACGATTTTGAAATAAAACTGAATGAATGTATTATGTACAGATCTCAGCTTGCAAGAATGGGTTTCCAAGGTATGAAAAGATTGACCAAGAAGAAAGAGTGAAGTAAATAGTAACAAATTGCAGGCCACATTTATTATTGTGGGTTTAATTTAATTGATTTATATGATATTTTAAAAATAACATTTAATAAATTTAAGGGTAAAGTACACAAATGATTCCCGACTATAGGATATAACTTTATTGAGTCCCTCGAGTTGCTTTATTTAGTCAATCGATTATTAAAAATTACAAAATGATCACCTGACTATTCATTATGTTCCAAACCCGTCATTTCCTTTAAAAAATTGATGAGACTCGGAGTTGGACGTTAACCTTCTGACTGAGATATAATAAAATCTGATCTCACAATCTCAAACGACTATCATATCTCAGTTTGCATGTTAACGTTTAGCTCAGACGATTGTTAATTTTTTAACGAAAAAGAACGAGTTTGGAATATAATAAATAGTCAGGTGACTATTTTGTAACATTTAATAGTCGAGAGACTCACAAAATGTCTCTTTATAGTCGAAGAATCATTTTGTAACTTTTAATAGTCGAAAGACTCAATAAAATGGTATCTTATAGTCAAAAGATCATTTATCTACTTTACCCTAAATTTAAATGCAAATTGATGCTGTTGTAGTGAAAGATTAGTGGAAAGCCCAAAACTGATAATTTAATCATGTTAATTGGAAAAACCATTTTAATAAATGACATTTATATTCTCACACTGAACCATAATTAACTTTCTTTTTCTTTTTTGACTTGTGTGCAAATAGATGCAGCTGATTTCCTGTATATACATAGCAACAATGATTGTCAATTTCAGCAAGTAGAAGGCTATGATTTTGAGGATAAATCATGGATCTAATATTCTCCTCAGTGTACAGTTTGTATTATATATAAAAGAAATAGTTTAAAGATATGAGAGAAATGGGCCAAAGGCATTTGCATTACTGTATTAAAAAATCTGCTCCGTCCAGTTAAACTTGAAAAGTAATAAAAAAATTATAAATATTTCAAAAGAACTTGTCTCACATTGCTTGACAACCCTTTAGATTATAGTTTAAACTATAATCAGTTTGTTTTACTGAAAATAATTTTCGAAAAATGAATTCTGAAAAATAAATTATATTTTTTGAAATAATTTTTCATAAAATATTTTTCACTATTTGGATACTGCAGTGAAAATGTTTTCCATTGTTTTGTTAATTTTTCTAAAAACAATTTTCAAAATCTTTTTTAGTGGAATAAACGTAAATATCTTTTGAATTTTCTTGATTTTGTATCTTTTAATTTTATTAAATTAATTTTATTGTTATACAATTATATTTTGCACTCATTTTGTTATAAATTATACTGTTTTACTTATATAAACATGTCCAATTAAATCTATAGATGATATGAATATTTTATGTTGATTACATTATAAATACATTATTTTAGATTTGAAGTCTTCAAGATCCTTATTGATTGTCATTTTTAAAATTATATTTTAGTTTATAATTAATATTATAAGTAGGCCCAGTTTATATAATTTTAATAATTTATTAAAAATATATATTTCTTCTATACCTATATTGACAAGAATAAATATTGATAAAGTATCATATCAATCAAAATACATAAATAATACTATATCACATCGAAATGATTATATTGTCAAAGTTTATAATGAAAACTACACCATATTAAGACAACAATATTTTCCAACCATAGTAAGACAATGATATAGTCTTATAGTTAGTACTACAACACAACAAACCAACAATATTGTTATGTTCATAATTAGTATCAGGTCTATCCTGAAAGATATGTATTACACCACAATAAGACAACAATATTATCCAATCATAGTAAGACAATGGTATACTCTTATAGTTAGTACTATAGCACAACAAACCAACAAAATTGTTGTTGATGTTCATAATTAATATCAGGCTTGTCCCGAAAGATAGGTACGTCCTATGCTCCTTTTTAAAATGAGACCCCTAAAATATTTTATAATAAGAATTAATTTGTCAAATTTTAAATAATAAGGGATCTATGAAATCTTTTTACCAAAATTCATCATTGAAAATGATTAAAGATACCATCAAAATCTTCATTTGCAACTTTATCTGCCTTTCCCGAGAACCAAACTAAAAGTTTGTTTCCCCTTTGAACGAAAATGTCGTTAAGGAACAAAGGTTGTATGTGTAGGGACAGATGCAAAATTTGATGTTAAGGGGCGAACCTCTAAAATTTTAGAAGGAGACTAATTTACAAAATTCCAAGAGGGAAAAATAGTTTTTTTCAATAGAAAATACATAGAAAAATATAAAATATATGGAATTTTAAAATTCCATGAAGGGACTATGCCCACCAGCCCTCTTCGATCCATCTCTTTGTACATGGATGAACTTGAATGACATGCATGGGCCCTCAAATTTAGGGGCCACGTGATGTGTCTCGGAATAAACATGCAAATGGATGGGCCTGATTAGTATTACAACACATTTAAAACTAAAATATTGTATAAGTGCGTAATTAGTACTACAACACATTTAAAGCTAAAATATTGTCTAAGTGAATAAATAATATTACATTGCATTAAAAGTACAAATCTGTTGAAAACATTTTGATATTTCGATATAACAAATTAAGTTAAATGAATTTTAAGATTTTCCAAAAGATTTTCCGAGTATATTCGATATAATTATTCGAATATCAAAATATTACTCAAAATCTTTCAAATGTCATTTTTAATCCTTACTCAAGTGTAAAATTAAGTTTTAATCTTAAAATAATTTCAAAACAATTTTACAAAGTATTTCAAACCGTTTCAAAGCAAAAAATTCCAGATTGTCCAGAGGGAACCGATTCCCCCCCAAGGGGGTACCGATTCCACCATGAATGGTTGGGCTCCGAGAAAAACAGAATGCTCGGAGGGAACCGATTCCCCCCTATTCAACGGTCGAAAATATTTGAATTTTACACTTAGGGAACCAATTCCCTATAAGGGGGTACTGATTCCCCCCACGCTCCAAGCTATTTTATTAATGATTTTCACACTTAAACAGCTCCATTGACTCCACTAATCATCCCCAACGTTCAGAATCAATTGAGGGAGTATTTAAACAAGTTCTGAAACCTTTGATCAACAAGAAATCATAGAGAAACAAGAGAGAAAGCATCAAACACCAAGTTTGTGCAAATCAAGCCAATTTTCCTTTCAATATTCATTTTGCTTTCAAAAACACCATTTGTGCTCATTTGTAATTATTTTTGAGTGTTCTTTTCTTGTTCTAGAATTGTGCAAACATCTTACCTTGTGAGGTTTTCCTTGTAAGTTTGCAAATTTGTGTATTTCTCTTTGAAAAAGAGTGTGCTCAAGAATTTGGGGTATAATTCTTGAGGGAGTTGTAAGGTTACTCTTTGTCCTCCAAAGAAAGAACAAATTAGTGAATTTGTTGGAAAATCCTTAGTGTGGATAGCTAAGGTAGTGGACGTAGACTTTGATTGAGAAAGTTGAACCACTCTAAATCGTTGTGCAAATATTTTCAATTTTCTGCAAAAGCTTCCATCAAAATTTTAATTGCCAATTCACCCCCCTCTTGGCCATTTCCATCAATCGATTAACTCAACAATTGGCATAAGAGCTTGACTCATTTGAAGGTTTAACCGCCTCTTGAGTAGATCCGGGAAGAGTTAAATCGATAAAGATGGCGTCCACTTCCGGTTCATTCTCCATGGATGAATCCAGACCAATTGACGTGCCTCCACACTTCAATGGAACAAATTATCGTCGTTGGAAGAAGCTTATGATGATATTTATCCAAGCATTTGATATGGAAGCTTGGATGATGATCGAGAAAGGATATTCTTCTCCTACAAAGAAGGCAAAGAAGTGGAGTGATCAAGAACGAAAGAAAGCTCAACAAAATACAAAAGCTATGCACATGTTGTGTTGTGCAATTGATCCTAATGTATATAAAGGATTTTCTTCTTGTTCAAATGCCAAAGAGATGTGGGATAAGCTTGAGGAGATCTATGGAGACAAGGAAGAAGAAGAACCAATAAAGGTGATGTCTCTATTAGCTCTCACGGGGCCAAAGGTATCTTCTAACTCAAATAGATTAAATTCAAAATCTTTTAATGAGTTACAAGATCCTTATGATGAATTATCTTTGGATTTTGAGACCATGAACTCCAAATACAATAAATTGATTTCTAAATTTATTGCTAAAATTGATCTTCTTTTGAAAGCTAAAACAGACTTGGAAAATCAAAATGAAATGTTGAGAAAGGAGTTAAAGTTTTCAAAAATAAAATCTGAAAACTTTGAAAAATAAATTTTCAAATTAAACAAACTTTTTCTAGAAACGAAAATGGATTTTGAAAATCAAAATGAAATATTGAAGAAGGATTTAGAGCTTTCAAGAATGAAATTTGAAAGTTTTGAAAAAGAAAATTTCGATTTGAAAGTTAAGCTTGAATGTTAACAAAAGAAAAAGATATCATTTTAAATAATTCATCTAGTTCAATAATGACAATATGTTCACATTGTCATTATCATGGTAATAAGGAACATGCTTGTCCTTTAAAGAAAGGAAAACGATTTAAAATTAGACAAGTATGGGTTCCAAAAGGAACAAGAGGCATTGAAACTAATGTTCAAGGATCCAAAGAAATTTGGATACCAAAATCTACTTAAATGTCTCTTATAGGTGTGTGGGAGCAATGGTGATGAAGATGATGATATTCAAGATGCTCTAGACACACATGAAAAAGGAATGGGTAACCTCTAAACTTAATGTTTTTATTTTATTTGGTTGCTTATTTAGTTTATGCATGCATGGGGCTTTAAATGTTGAATAATTCTAAATGATTATGTTTTATCTCATGTATGTTGAAAAATATTGTATGATGAACATAGTAATTTTTGGTAATGTTTTATAAACTCTAGTTCATCATAATAATTTTTGGTCAAAATTGTTTTTGACATATCTTTAACAATTGATATCGATTTTTTTTCAAGAACTTTGGTTTTTGCAAAATTTTGACCTTAAATTTTTCTTAATGTTTATGCATTTTTTTA